AAATCTTCCTCTGTTGTGCTTTTTTCCCTCCAGAAGTCCCAAGTCCCTGGTATGTGTCGTGCCTGATGTTTCTGCATTTAGCCGTGACTGGAGGTGGTTGAGATACCCAATCACTGTGCCCCTCTTGCTCCTAAGGAACGATGGTCTGATTTATTCCAGTACTTTCAGCTTCACGTATACACCAGAGCAGAATTTCTTCACTGGGCAACCCATCTTGCAGGAGATGATGCCGGATTCCGACAGCCTGCTCGACACCATCCATCAAGAGTTCACCAAGACCAACTTCCACCTCTTTGCTTAGGTCATCCTGCACAGTGCAGGGGGTTGGACGAGATGGTCTTTAGGACCCTTCCAACAATGATTCTGTGAGTGCTCCAGGAAAAAATGCAGAAAGTTGTAGTGGGCACAGAATTCAGTTTCCTGGGCATCATTCCTTTTTTTCTAACAAGAAACTCCGCCACATTTTTGTGGCTGTGAAGATTTGCTTAAATGATGTACAATGCAATAAGTCATGCAGTTTTCTTCAGTTTGCACCAGGAGGCAGGATTCACTGAGAGCCAGATCACAAATCCCTGTTGTATGCTAACATGTAGGTCAATCAGACAGATCATTTTATTAAATGCATCCACATGGTGAAGTGTTTCATTTTCTACTTTGCCAAGCCGTTCCGTATGTGATAAGTTTACAAACCTTTTTGACCACCCAAATTGGGTGGTTACCTCATGTCATGGGGATCTCATGTCCAGTGTTCCCTCTAAACTGAGTTAGTGTGAGCTAGCTCACAGTTTTTTAGCCTCTGGCTCACACATTTTTGTCTTAGCTCAGGAAGGACAGCTCCAGAGCAAACTAATTTATGCAGCAGCCAAATCGCTTGCTCACAACTTAAATACTAGTAGCTCACAAAATAGAATTTTTGCTCACAAGACTCCACAGTTTAGAGGGAACATCATATCATTTTTTAAAATGCACACACACAAAAAAACCACCAAAACCAAAACCATATGATAACCTCATATCCTATATAAGAGATAATACCATCATGTTATGATGATGTTCCAACCAAAAAAACAAATAACAAAGAAAATATATAAACCACTAAGAGAAAAAGAATAGATAGAGAAAAAGGAAAGGAGAAAAGGGGAGTAGAGGGAGTGCTTCCATCGAAATTGGCTCAGACTTTATGTATTTTTCCATATTTACGTATTCTCATTGATTCTATTTCTGAAAAATGGTTACTCATTTGAGGTAAGACGTTTCCCACCTGAAGAAGAAATTCCATATTTAGGCCATACCTTGAAACTTTTGGACAGATTATTTTGTATATCTCTATGGAAATTCAACTACCAAGGAGAATGACACTGCTGTTTCTTTGCGTCATGTCTTTTTTCTTGGGAGGAAAGAGAGATGAGTTACAGTCCTTTGATACCTTTAGGGATTAGTCCCAGGGAAGACATTTGACAGAGTATACAACTCGACTTGTGGAGGGGGATCTAGAACTGTATTTGCTATACCTTCACCTATTCAGTGTCCTCCTGTCTACACAGGGACCTGTGTGCCTGCTGAATGAACATAGGTTCTCTACATGTGCTCTGTTCCCTCAAGTTTGTACAGGATACTGCTTACTTTTAGGGAGCCCGTGGCCTGGATCCAGACCAGCATTCCCACTGACACAAGGATTTCCACTCACAGGACATGCTCCCTGGAATCTGCACGTGCACCCGCAGAAATGCTGCTCTGGATCCAAGCTTGTATGTTTTCATGTGCATAAGACCTCATGGAAGTGGGACAATAAAATATGTGGAGGCTGGAGCTGGGGCCAGTAAGTGAGATCCCAATCTCTCTCTGTGAATTCCCTTATATGCTTGTTTGAATACCTGCATGGAGCAACTGTTGAGTCTTTTCCAGGGCACTTCAACTTTTGAAAACTACTTGAGCTTCTAAAGTAATTGGCGGTCAGTGGCGTTCATCAGTGGTTGTCCTAGCAAGCTCGAAGAAATTCTTGTCAAACTCCACTTCAATATCCTCAGGTCTCGTAGGCACATCCAGATCTATCTAGAAAGTACATATTTGTCACAGGGCATTAAACATTTTGTGTCTCAGACAAAAAGTCCGTTTATTAATTATTTAATGAATGTGTACCCCGCCTTTCTCTCCAACAGGGACCCAAAGTGGCTTACACAGTTCTCCTCTCCTCCATTTTATCCTCACAACAACCCTGTGAGGTAGGCTAGGCTGAGAGACTGTGGCTGACGCAAGGTCACTTGGCGAGCTTCTTTGGCACAAAGTAGGGATTCAAACCTGGGTCTTCCTGATACTAGGCCAACACTCTTAACCACAGCACCACACTGGATCCCTGGATTGGTCATGTGCCTGCATTTATTTATTTATTTATTTATTTATCAGATTTATACCCCACTCTCCCCGCCGAAGCCGGCTCAGGGCGGCTTACGTAAAAGAATAAAATCACATCGATAACAATTTTAAAAATCCTAAAATCACCTAAAAACACGCCAACATTATAAGGTGCTATAAACATTAAGTGATACTGATAGTAATCATATTATTAAATGATGGCAGGCATCAATCAGTAATGAATTCTGGTGATCGGCCCATAGAGCTAATCCTTTATGCGGCTGGCACAGGCCGTTGTTAATGGATCTGGGGGACAGGGTCCTCTACTTTTCAACTCTTGGTGGTGGCTTGCAGGCACACACTATTCTTCTGGTGGCCATGAAGGCTTTAAAAGGGCCCTGATGTCCTACATTGGCCAGATCACTACGCCAGCAGCATCTTATACAAAATATAGTGCCGTCTTTCCTGGCATCAGAGAAGGGGAAGGAGTGAGATGCCAGCTATGGAGAATTTAGCATAAGTGTGGCAGAGGACATCAGAAGCATGTGAAATGGGATGCCCACCCAAATTGCCACTGGTGGGTCAACCCTTCTCCCTACTGCTTGTTCAGGTCAACTTTTATATGCATAGATATGCTTTTTTTTTTTAAATCAGCAACTGTAAAACAAATATCAAAGTGCCTTAGGGTGCATCTGTGTTCCACAACTGTACAGTCATCCACTGTACACATGTTGCGGGCTTTGAAGATTTATTTAGAACCTTCAGATGAAAACAGCATCAAAAGGCCAATCGTCTGTTCCGAAGCATGTTGTTTTAGCATTAAAGGCTGATTTAGAAGAGAGCCTGTTGCCAAAACCACACTGGCTTTTAACCTGTGTTGAACTCCTGAAGGCCTACAGAGGAGCCCAGTGGTGAGAGACCGCAGTGTCGCAAGCATCACCATCCTCAAAGTGCCAGGCGAGTGTTGCCAACAAGCACTTCTTTCTCTGACTTCCCTAATCATGACTGTGGTGCTGGAAGACTCTCTTGTTCATTAGTGTGTCTTGCGGGCATGTGGAATTCCGCGGCCGGAGTGTTTCAGATTACAGTGCGTGCTTATGTGATGTCTAAGATTTCAGAGATAGGCTTCCATGCTGCTTTATGGAAGGATGGATATTTCCATGGTGTCCAAGAGTCTGTTCATTTGCTCAAGAGTTTTAAACAAACAGCTGACCTGGTTAACACCTGGAGCACCCTTTCAACTCCAAAGAAAACCCCAGTCCTCTTCCAGACAACTCCACCCCCAGCTACAACCCTGTTCAATATCAAAACAGCAGCTCCCACCATGCAAATAAAACAAAATTGCAGGGGGGGGGGCACACACACACATGAGATTACATAGTGGCTGTCTTAAGTTTGCAGCCTATTAAAATGTATTTGACTTTTTACAGTTTTTCAATTCAAGCCCTCTGGTACCTTACCAGTGTAAAGAGCCAGTGCGGTGCAGTGGTTAAGAGCAGGGGTCATTTGTGCCAATGGACTGTTTTGGACTGGGGGGCCGGGGGGGGGCTCTGCAACTTACCCGGCTGCTTCTTGCTCTGACTGAGGGCTGCTAGGAGCAGGGGGTGGGGCTTGTTCCATGTGCCCGCCCCCTGGGCTCTGTACTGCTGGAGCTCCGCTCCTGTGCGCTCCTGCAGGATATGACCCCTGGTTAAGAGTGTTGTACTGGTATCTGGGAGACCTGGATTCGAATCCCCAATTGTGCCATGGAAGCTCACTGGATGACCTTGGGCCAGTCACACTGTCTCAGCCTAACCTACCTCACAGGGTTGTTGTGAGGATAAAATGGAGGAGAGGAGAATTATGTCAGCCGCTTTCAGTCCCCATTGGGGAGAACAGCGGGGTACAAATGAAAGAATGGCTCAAATAAGAAACAAATACACACCCATGCCAAAAGTAGCTTCCATATGAGTGGCTCCTTTGGGCTCACAGGGGCCTTTAATAATGCTTTGAAGTCTGGGAATTATTGCTGTGGTGGGTCTGTGCTGCAACACAAACCATCAAGGACAAGAATTGCAACATTAATTGTAATTGGACTGTATTAATTTAAAAATTGTTGCACAGGTGCAGATGTTGTGGAATCTCCTTCCAATGAAGATTTTTGGTTTGTTTGTTTTCTATTGAAAACACCGGTGATGACTTAGCTGATAGTTGGTATAATCCAGCATTGGTCCTTGGATCACGATGAGCTATAAATCAAGCCACAGGAAACCTAGGGAATCTTGCCATTGCAGTAGGCTTGTTTTATTCTTTTGAACACTACACATCAGAGGACAGCAGCTCCTGCAGTTTGGCAGGAATCCCCAACGCAGAGAGATGATGTGTTCCCTTTTTGGCACATGAGCGAGAAGAAGACTGTTCTGCTCAGTGTTCCTGCTAAGCTGAGTTAGTGTGAGCTAGCTCACAGTTATTTAGCCTCCAGCTCACAGATTTTTGTTTTAGCTCAGGAAGGATGGCTCGAGAGCAAACTAATTTATGTAGCTAAATTGCTCGCTCACAACTTTAATGCCGGTAGCTCACAAAGTAGAATTTTTGCTCACAAGATTCCACTGCTTAGAGGGAGCATTGCGGTCATTCAAAGTGAGTTTGTTGCTGAATCAGGGATAGATATATTGCATGGTGGAACTCCGGAACAAATTCACTATTTGGGGGTGTGGGTGGGGGAGGTCCCATTGGGCATTAGACAAGAATAGTACAATATGTAGATCTGTCTTGTTAGGAGAAGCAGTTTCAGATATAGGATCAAGCTGAAGGAGGCAGGTAGTATACAGAACCATCCATGGCTTAGTGGTAGAGTCTCTCCTTCACATTCAGAGGGTTCCAGGTTCCATCTATGGCATCTCCAGTTAGAAGGATCAGGTAGCCGGTCCATGTGAAAGACCCGTGCCTGAGACCTTGCAGAGGCACTGC